GGTTGATGGTTACATCCTCTGCACACTTACCTATGTATCCAAGGACAGCAGCTGTGTAGTCCTCCAAGTCCACCTCTCCTTCATGGACAGCTGCTTCCCTGAAGATCTGCCAGTCCCTGCGCTAGAAACAGTCCTGCAGTGTGGGGACAGCATCACTGGGCCACACGGTGATGGCCCTCTGAGTGGGTGCGTCGCGTCTGAGCAGGGGGGCGACAGACAGGCACGTGACAAGCATGATGGAGATTTGGTCGGAGAAACCCAAGTGGGGCTGGGGGACGGCTCTGTATGCGTCTCTCTTATTGGTGTACACACGGTCCAGCGTGTTATCTCCCCGTCTCGGTATGTTGCCATGCTGGTAGAATTTAGGCAGGGTGTCTGTCAGGTTTACGTGGTTGAAATCCCCTGCAACCACGTAGAACACCGCCGGGTGCTTGTGCTGGAGCGAGCTGATGTTAGCGCGCAGCTCCGTTAGCGCTGTTTAGCCTTAGCGCCCTTAGCATCCGGCGGGATGTAAACAGAGATAACAAACACTGCCGTAAACTCGTCTGGGAGATAATGTGGTCGGCATTTAACCGTCATATGCTCTATCGCCTCCGAGCAATGGCTGTTTACCAGAGTGCAACTTGTACACCAACCTTTGTTGATATAGACCGACTCGTTTTACTGATTCGAATCTTTTACTCTCGAACAGTAAAATGAACGAGCCGTGAACGAATCTTGAACTTGTCGTTCGCGAGTGATTCGTTCAAAATGAACGAATCTTTCATATGACTCGTGACTCCCGAGTCATATGAAAGATTCGTGACTCGTGACTACCGAGTCATATTAAATATTTGTTCATATTGAACTCACGAATCACTCACAAATCACTCACTGCGAACTAATCACTCACTGCGAACTAATCACTCACTGTGAACTAATCTTTCACTACGAACGAATTACTCTCTGCAAACTAATATTTCACTGTGAACTAATCTTTCACTGTGAACTAATCTTTCACTGTGAACTAATCTTTCACTGTGAACTAATCTTTCACTGTGAACTAATCTTTCACTGTGAACTAATCTTTCACTGTGAACTAATCTTTCACTGTGAACTAATCTTTCACTGTGAACTAATCTTTCACTGTGAACTAATCTTTCACTGTGAACTAATCTTTCGCTGTGAACTAATCTTTCGCCGTGAACGAATCATTCTCTGTGAACTAATCTTTCGCCGTGAACTAATCTTTTGCTGTGAACTAATCTTTCGCTGTGAACGAATCATTCTCTGTGAACT